CTGAGAAGGAGGTGCTTGTTAGGTGCCTCGGAGTCCATTTCCACTCACAGTGACCCCTAGTGGCAGTGGAGAACTGCCCCGAGGGTCCTCCAGGTTGTACTCTTGACGGCCAGGTCTTTTCCTCTAAGGAGTGACTCACTCAGAAGCTCTGCCATTGAACTGATGCCAATTCATAGCAACCCTAAAGGGCAGGGAAGGCTCCCCAGTTAATCTCTTTATGGGAGTAGAAAGCCTCATCTTTTTCTCCTAGAGCTGGCTAGTAGTTTCGAACTGCCGACCCTGCAGTTAGCAGCCCAATGTGTAACCTTTATGCCACTGGAGCTCTGGTACAGAGTGACTAATAGTGTTCACATCAAGAACATTTTTTTTCACATCAATAACATTTTGCAGGAGCTGAGCCCCCAGGGGCAACTTGCGAATCCTTGCAAATTAGGGAATGATGAAAGGACCAATCACAATGTTGCTGTACTTCCCTTCCAGTTCTCTGCTCATTATTTCCTCTTATGTAGAATTGTATTCATTTATTACTTTAAGCTGAACCCCTAGCAATAGGGACACATAGTAGGCCCTCAAGTTCAGTTATCACTAGGCATTTGTACTCTGTACGTGGCAGCCCCACATGACAGAATCGACTTCTCCCCTCTGCCTCTAAGTCGTGAGCAGTTTTGTAGATGTTAAGGAGTTGGAACATTATTTCAGACTCAGGTTGGGTCTTGGTTTCCCTGTCTGTGAAGTGGGCCTGCCACTACTCACCTCACAGGGCTGCTGCTCTGGATCCACTGCAGGAAGGTGGGAAGGCTCAGAGCTAAAGAGGAAATCCCATGTGGCACGTAGCAGTATCAATAGCTAAAAACACCCAATGCTCTCGAGTAGATCCCAGATCATATTGAGCCTATAGGACAGATAAGAACTGTTCCCCATGTTTCTGTAAATATTAACGGGGAGCAGAAAACCTGATCCTTCTGCCTCTGAGCTGTGAGTGGGTTCAAACTACTGACTTTGTGGTTAGCAGCCCGACGCTTAACCCACGACACTACTTTCTCAACAACAGCTACTGACTGCATACTGGCAGCATTTGAGAGTTCAGCATTCACGTTCCCACTCCATCCTGCTAAGAGTTTAAGGAGATTAAACTCCTAACAGACCTTATGAAATTGAAATGACCCTGTAAGATGAGGGACCTGGGGCAGAAGGATTCATATTGAAAGCAGCCGCATTAATGCTCTCCAGCCAGAGACCACCGAGAACATACCTGGGGATATTTAAAACATTCGGGAACTTATCAGGAGGAGGAGTCAAGATGACATCCAGGTACAATCACCCACCAGGTGCTCCTGTTGTTAGACCAGAAAATTAAGAGCTAAGCATGGGAAGCCAGCCCAAGGAGAAAGCAATGGGGCCAAAGGTTCCAGAGGGAATTGTGGGGAGGAAGGGGAGGGGAGAGGAAGCAGTGAGCAAACGTCACAGACAGGGGAACAACTAGGGAGTTAAAATCAACAATGAGGAGGACACCGAGATCCTGGGGGTGTTGGAACAACAGCAATCTAGCTGAGAGGAATTACTAAGAGGCAGAAGAGTGAGTGTGATGGTGGGACAGGAGGAAGGTAAAGGAAACAGAGGAAAGATCTAGGAAGCAAAGCTATGGATAGAAGTATACGCATAGGTGTGTACATATAAAAATACATTCATCCATAAAAATAGAGGAATTGGCCTGTGTACATATATTTATATGGCAATAGATTGAGGAAGTGAATGAACTTTGAGCTTCTGCTCAAGCCCTCCCTCAACACAAGAACACTTTTCTTTCTAACAACCTGGCATTCTGTGATGCTCACCCTCCCTACAGTATTGCTGAAGACAAAATGGGTGCATAAGCACATGTGGTGAAGAAAGTTGATGGTTTCTGGCTATCAAAAGATATAGCATCTGGGGTCTTAAAGGCTTGAAGTGAAACAAGTGGCCATCTAGCGGAGAAGTAACCAGCCCACGTGGAAAAAGCACACCAGCCTGTGCGATCATGAGGTGCCAAAGGGATCAGGTAACAGACACAAGAAGAACCAAAACAACAACAACAACAAATATATTGTTGAGAACAAGGGGGGTCGGAGCAGAGACCCAAAACCTATCTGTACACATTTGGATATCCCCTCACAGATGGGTCACAAGAAAGGATGAGTCAACCAGGGTGCAGTATAGAACCAATGAAACACAATATTCCTCTGGTTCCTTGAAGCTTCCTCACCTTCCACTAGAATGACTCCAGACCTGCCTTTCAGTCCTGGCTAGACTGGAGCATGTGCACTGGTACAGATAAGAACTCAGGACACATGGAATCCAGGTAAGATAAACCCCTGAGGAACAGAAATGGAATTAGTGATACCAGGAGGGTAGGGGGAAGGTGGGGGGAAGAGGGAAGGAAGGGGGAATGGATCGCAATGATTGACACATAACCACCCCCCCCCAGTGGGATGAACAACAGAAATGTGGGTGAAGTGAGACAACAGTGAGTGTAAAATATGAAAATAATAATAATTTATACTTTTATTATTATTGAAAAAAAGAGCTGACCCAAGGACTCAAATAGAAAGTAAGTGCTTAGAAAATGATGATGGTAACATATGTAAGATAAGATAGGAGTGCCCCTGTGGATTTCTGACACTGTAAATCTTTAAGGGAGTAGAAAGTCCTGTCTTTCTCCTGAAGAGCTGTTAGTAGTTTTGAACTGTTGACCTTTCAGATTGCAGCCCAACACGTAACCACTATGCCACCAGGGCTCCCTAAAAGCATCTACGTATGTGCAAATTCTGGCTTGCTATCCAGTCTCATGTTTTTGTAAACAAAGCACATTGTTTACATAGTGTTCATAGGTACTTTGCCTACTAGTTGTTGTTGGCTGTTGTCAAGTTAATCCGAACTCTCAGTGATACCACAGCACCTGGGAAAGAAGAGGTGCTGTGGTATCCGAGTCTTCAGGGCTTTCTCTCGTGGAGCTACTGGGGTGGGTTTGAACCGCTAACCATTTGGCCAGAAGGTGAGCACTTCAACCATTATCCTCCCAGAGCTCTTCTTTTCCTCTTCAAGGAGAGACTGCAATCAAAGTGATCGAGACGATATAGTCTGCCAAACCTAAAATATTCACCATCGGGCCCCTTATAGGGAACGTGTGCCAACACTTACATTTAGAATCTATTTATTGCCTTTTACGACCAACCCAGAGGTGACACATTGTCTGGCTAAACAACAAAAGCATCATGACAAATGTTTATACTGCACTCATGAAAGCCTAATATTGTGTTATAGAGGGACAGATTAGCTAATACATAAACCAGCAAACGTAAGTAATACCATTTCATATTTGCATGTCACTTTATAGATTAGGATAAACTTCATGTGTGTTATTTCATTTGATCTCCCCAGTAACTCTAAAAAGTTGGCAGGGCAGATACTCTATTTCCACGAGGAAACCGATTCAGAGTTTTGCAGGGTTACAAGGAACTCGGTTTTAAAGGGCTTCTTTTAGCAAGCAAAACACTTCCTTTCTCTGGAAAATGCTTGCCTGGCTAAAGACACTTCCTTTCATAAGATGTATCAACTTGACTTGGAATATTATATTCGAAGATCCCTTGAAATTAAGTGTACTTTGAAATAATAATTTCTGTTTCTGCAGTGTGGGAGAATGATGTGGCAGTCTGTTTCTGTAAATATTTACAGCCTTTAAAAGCCTACAGGGCATTTCTACCCTGTCCCATAGAATTCTGAGTTGGAATGAACTCTGTCACAATGGTTGGGTTTTCTTACTGAAATAAAAATAAGCATTTGACCTACTAGTTAAGAAAGTCAAACTAAATATGAGCCTAATTAAGTTAATAAGGAGCCCTGGTGGCTCAGGGGCTAACGTGCTTGGCTCTACAATGCAACCAAATTCTCTACCATCCAGTTGATTCCAACTCACAGTAACCCTATAGGAATGAGGAGAACTGCCCTTGTGCATTTTTGAGACTGTTTACCAGAGTCGAAAGCTGTGTCTTTCTCCCAAGGATTGGCTGATGGATTTGAACTGCTGACCATGCAGTTAGCAGCCCAATGCACCACCTGGGCTCCACTCAAATGCTTGATGACTGACCAAGACCTCAGGGAAGTTTGAGCCCAATAACTGCTCCTCGGGAAAAGATGGGGCGGTCTATTTCTACAAAAGATTACAGCCCGGGAAGCCCTGTGGGACAGTTCTCCTCCATGCGAAAGAGTTGCTTTCAGTCAGAATCATGTTTGGCTTGGTATTGGGTTTGTTTTGTGATGTCTTAGAATTTTCAAGATGGGTCAGTTATCTGGATAACTTGTCTTACCAAAATAAGATAAACAAACGAAAGACCTTCTGGGTTAATGGTGGGAAAAGCTCCATAAAAATATGAGCATATATGAAGTTGGGAAACATAGTGCTCTGTGTATGGTCACATCACACTGAGCTAGATATTTCAACGGGGCTGAGGGCCTGGAGATGGCTCTTCTGATATATTTTCTACACCACATAAAACCTGACCCTCGAACCACACCATTTACGAAGAAATTCTACTTGGGCAACACATTGCTGTATCCATTGGATCCAAAAAGACCACCGTTCCAGATCTGCCTCTGAAGCTTTGCAAACCTGCTTAATCCAACCATCTGATACTCTGAAATGCACAAAGCTCCCTGCGTATTGTAAACAGTTTGTGCTCAATTAACCATCTCAGCGGTGGTGCGGACCTGCCCCACAGGACTGCAGAAAAGGCCTCGTGAACTACTTCTGTAATGATGACAGCTGAGAAGTCCTCTAAGTTCTGTCCAGCCCACGTACACTCTGGTCACAACTGAAGGGCCATCATGAGTCAGAGTTGACTTTGTGGCCATGGGTTTGATTTTTCTCTTTGTTTGGGGGAGGCAAAGCAGAAAGGAAAGAAGAGAAAGAAAGAAAAGTCTAGACCCGATCCGGGAGACTGGGCTGAGAGTACAAATGGACTTACTTCACTCCCAGATTGGATGTCCCATGAGCATGACTCCTTCTCATGAGGCAGGACGGCTCTTTGGAAAGCATGCTCTCCTAGGCATGTCTGACACAAGGGAGGCTCAAAGTCTGGCTCCCCTGGAGTGTGTGCCACAGAGGGGCCTGTGTACTTCAGACCGGGGCTCTGATGCTTGTCCATGGTGACCACCGGGCTCTTGATCCATCGTCGTACCTACAACATGCAAAAGGGGGGAAAGAAGTATTAGGGCCTTTGGTTGTTTAGTGAGACTTTGGTGGGAAATTGGCAGAATGGTACACTAAGCAAAGGACCCAAGGGGCACATTCCACCTTTGTTGCCAACTGCTTGGTAAGCATTGGCATGAACCCAGTCTCCGAAGTGTGAGAACGGACCCACCTCCCCTTCCTCGTCACTGGCCACTCGTGTGGCACACGGTCTCTCTGACCCTTGCCAGCCAGAGCTTGGTCAGATCTTCCAAGTTAGAGGTGTAGTCTTTCGACTAGCTGCCCACAGAGCCCTTCTCTCACCCCAGCCCCCCACAGGGGGAAGAAGCCAGAGCGCATGCGTTAGAAGGACACCTTCTTTCAGAGTTCCAAATAGGCACCAGCCCCTCATGATGCCCTACCCCAATGGGTTCATTAATTTGTTGGAATGACTCATGGACTATCATGGAGAGTATAGCGTACTTAAAGTTGTAACTATTATAATCAAACAAAGACCCATAAATGAGGTCTGGGAGAAGGGTCCCCGGGCTGAGCTTCCATGTCCCGGAGACGGATGCTCTCCTGTGCTGTTCACCAACAAGGAAGCTCATCTGAACTTTAGGGCTCACAATGCTTTCCTGTCTCAGCAATGCTTGACTACATCATGCACCTCATGAAACTTAGTCAGCAGAGCCTCTCATCCCCAAATGGTCTGCTCAGACCCCATTCATTAGCCTGAAGTGTTCATCTGAATGGAGAATACAATCAAATTGCCTTCTGGACACTTAGGAAAGAATTCAGTCTTGCAACTTCTCTTTCATTCACACGGTTTGGATTAGCCAGTGCGGGTCCATGCAGACCCTTGTGTGTTTTTATGTTGCTCAAGATCGTCTCATTAAGTCTATTGCTTCTTCTGAAAGTTTGGGATAGTAATGTAGACCGAATAAAATTTGACTCAGGAAAAAAAAATATATTTCCTCCTAGAGTTGTGAAAAATTTACAATGTTTTTAAATGTCTAACTACTTCCCTGGCACCTGGCTATCATTCTGTAGATAGATGGTGGCTATTTTATTCTGATGTTTACAAGTTTTGAAGGAGGAGCCTGGTGGTATAGTGGGTTAGGCTTTGGACTGCTATCCACAACCCCAGGAGTTCAAACCTTCCAGCTGCTTCACAGGAAAAAGACGAGGCTTTCTACTCCTCTAAAGAGTTACAGTTGTGGGGAACCCCAGGGGCAGTTCTACCCTATCTTGTAGGGTCTCTCTGATCAGAACTGACTCAATGACAATGATAGTAAGGAATGTGGAGTGCTAGTTACTTTAACTAGGGTAGATACTAATTCCATAGCTTAGGATCCAATTGTTGCTCAGCGAATGAATATGTATGTAATTAACATATTTTACTACTATAAAAACGTAATCATAAAGGAAATTCCTTTGGCTAGGAAATCATCTCAAAGTTGTTTTTCCAGGTCTAAAACTTATGATCTATCTTGCTTGCATGTACAATTCTTGTAACACAGGAAACAATAAAAAGATATTTTAACATAAAAGATTTAATATTCATATAGTATATTTAACCACCAGAACAGTTTTACAGGATAATTACTACTCTTATTCCTGTTTTTCAGGTAAGAAAACCGAGGCTCAAGAAAGAAAGAGAGAAGAAATGAGTTTCCCCAGGGCACACTGCTGCTGGGGGGAAAAGCAGAAGCCGGGCACACGGATTGTGCAGCCCTCCATCCATGTCCTTTCTAACAAGTGCCAGGGTGCTCTAGACCTTTCGGTCTCCAAATGCTGGATATTTCATTAGGGCGAATACGCCAGGTCCCTGCTCTTCAAAACTCCTGAGGATTTTTACCGTTTAACAACCGTGAAAGTAGCAGATACTAAAAGGAGGAGGAAATAAAACCACAGAGCCGAGCTTTCGTTGCTGTTGCTATAAGTACACATTTTTAAAAGTATGCTCAGAATAAAGTAAAATGGCAATAGCAAATGATCTTTCAGTAATTCATTATGTCACTTGGTAGATCATTATGCCTTATTAAAAATAGATATTATGAAAACCTGGCAACAATATGAAAAAAGTCAAGAACATAATTATATGTAAAAAAGCTATTGTTCAATCACGATGATTACAAATGTACAAACACATGTGTTCCTCCCGTAGGGGACTCTATTTCCCTCTTCACGGTTTCTGAAGAGGGGCGCTGAGGTGGTTTAGGAGAGGAAAGAGGCAGCTCTTCCTGTGCCGGCTTGACTCCCGGCAGCCCTCATGGTTCAGGGTCAAACTGTGCTCTGCAGGGGTTTATGGAGAACGTGAGAAAGCAATGGGCAAAGTGGAGTGGTTGCACCCATCTGTAGGAGTATTGGCATTTTATCTCCCACTCTTTTTACCGTATTCTGTCCTTTATTTTAAGAAATAGTTTTAAAATATTATAATAATCTTAAGCAATTCAAAAGCATTACATTTCTTTTTTTAACATTTGCATCTTTTAATTGCGTTATCTGGTTTATTTATAGGCACGCTTTCCATTAAGTAGCCTCTTCAACTAGCCTTTTGAGTTTATTATCCTAATGTTAACATTTGGGGGGGGGGTGGCTGTTCTTCAATAATTCTTGCACATAGGGTCCCATAAACATATTCATTAAGTGTACTCAAAAGTATTTATTTGGCTCACTGATGAAAATCTAAATAAAGTGGAACCTCTCTTCCTAGTGCTAGTGCCAAATGTGTTTTTGAACAAGCCAGAAGGTATTAGATTTCAGGCAAAAGGGAAAATGTTTTTTTTAATTCTTATTCTGAGGTTTTTGAGCTTGGGGTTTGGTCATCGTTCCTGCTTAGGGTTCCAACCTTGTATTTTAACATCAGTCTTTTTACTCTGGCTTGTTTTCAGCATGTCTCTCTTGCCAAGTAAATGTAACTTTGAGATTGCTGTGACTAGGATTTTAAACAGATTTATTGTTAAGGATTCATAATTATATGGCCTGACTGATTACAAATCTTGATATACTGACATTTAAATCTTACGTTTATAGACTAAATCCTATGCAATATCATCTTACTTAAGTTTACAATGAAGGATGCCCACACTACTGACTTTAACCTTTCATTTGGCTATGGAAAAACACACTGATATATCAAAGGACATCCCTGTGGAGACTTTATTTCTTACCTCAAGGCTCACAAATTATCTATAAGTCTTCCCTCCTTTAACTTTGTAAATATGTGTAATATCAATGATGTATTGGAGAGTAGAAACCACAAGGAGTATGAATCACACAAGGAATTGCTGTTTCATCTGATACCCAACTAAGAGTTTCCCCCCAAATTCAGATGACCTTGAACATAGACAATCAACAGCTCAACCACATCCCATCAACTTTTTTCTTTTTAATTTAAGTTCAGAGTCAGAAGGGACTCGAAGAGGTTAGCAACTTGCCAAAGGCACTTCATAAATGTATGTGGTCAAGACGAACTTAACCAAAGGACCCAAAGGAGGAACTTAACTAAGTAATGTCGCCAAACTACCGAACCACTTTCTGCGGGGTGTTACCTGACAAACTCAAATGCCCGCAGAGGCTGGCAGGACCAGAAAACCCGAGCAGTTGTATGAATACGCTATAAAGCAGAGCGTGGTGGAGACTGGGGTTATGATGGGGACACAGATTGAAAAACAAAAACAAATCAACTATGTTGGCCAACACAATGCTAGGTCACTCTTCCCCACATCTTCATGAGACTCTGGCCCTTCTTTGATCCCAGCTTCTTTGATCCGAGTCAGCATTATAAAAAGCATAATTAACTTGGGGGAATTAAGATTTCAAACGGGGTAGAAGCCCAATGCTTGGATAGTTTCTCTTTAAAGAGGTGATCTAATAGCTTTCAACAGTGTACCTTTCTTTCATTCCACATTCATTATGGGAATGGATAAGCTAGACATTTGGAAGGCAGCAGTTAATAAGATAGATCTCAGATGGCATGCCCTCATGGAGCCTGAGTTACGACTACTGGAGAGAGAAACAAAATAAATAAGGAGACAAAGCAGAGAAGGGCAATCAGGATGATTAAGAGGGGGCTTGTCTTTAACTAGGAGGGGCAAACTACAAATTCATTGGCCTTGAGGCGGCTCCAATGAGGAGTGATCTGGCAGGACAGAGCAGCACCTCACCTGTGGGCTCATGGGGCTGCCCATCTTGATGGAGGCAGGGAGTCTCACCTTTCTCCTCGAAGCTGCTGGTCAGTTTGAGCCACTGGCCTTATGGTGAGCAGGCCAGCACGCAGCCCGAGAACAAGGCCTTTACCTAGATGGTGGCTTTTCAGTGAGGGCCTGGAGGTTTAGGCAGAGCAAGGCTCCAAGACATTAAAAAACCACTCAACTGAAGCACACTGCTATGAAGTCGATTCCAAGTCACTGTGGCATTATATAGAGGGCAGCGTAGAATTGCTCCCTTTGATTTCTGAGGCTGTAAAACTTTTACAAGAACAAAAAAAGGCCTAACAGGGTGGCTAGTGGGTTCAAACTGCTGACCTTGCAGTCACCTGCCCAACACAACTCACTGTGCTGCCAGGGAACCTGCCAAATAGGTAACTGGATCACAGAGTCTAGATTTCACAGGAAAATTCCAGGCTGCAAATATAAAATTGGGATTTGAAACATACCCAGGTGTGTGAGAAGCAGAGGAAAGGGAAGAGAGTGTATGTGGACAAATTCTTTATTCTCTTATTTAAGAAGCCTGGTTGGCTAGGGCTCTGGGTGGAGGGAGGCCTTCACACTTGTAAGTTAGGGATAAGTCCCAATTGCATTCTTATCATTGAAATTAATTGTCACAATATCCTCCTATAATAATGCTACCTTAAAGTTACTTCTTACAAACACATGGCTGATTGCTAGCTGGTGGGCAGCTTTATCTACAGGAGCAGGCATGTTGCTATTGCTCTCCCTGCTCAGGGGATAGTCACTCCCTCTTACCTGCCCCCTAAAGGGTCCAACAGTGACACTAAGGTTC